AGCAAAATTATAACCAAACTTTAAATATGATGAACAAAAATCTCTTTCTTATTAATCTCATTTTTATCATATCAAATTACATTCTTGCTTTTAACTAATGCGGGCATTTGACCAGTTCTACTTCAAAACCTTAATTGTCCAAAACTCTTTTTGTTTTGAATTTTTTTGTTTTTTCTACGAATATAAAGAAGAATTTCAATGGGCATATTGATCAATGAATAAGGACAGGGGACAGAACGTTTTTAAAAAGTGCTTAAAGATGCATTTTAAATTGGGTGTTTGTAAAAATTGCTTAATTTTTTCTTTTCCTAAATTAAATTTTTTCTTTGCCACATTGATTGTCACTATAGATAACAAAAAGCGTGGTTTTCACAATGTTTTACTAATGATTTTCACAACTCATTGAGCCATAGTCTGTTCTTGTGTACCATTATAGAACCGTGTAGAAGCACCAATCATTTCAATGACTCGTGGATCTGCATTCGCTTATACTGTGCTGGATTCTTGCACTCATAGAGCAGTCAACAAGCAGCACTTTGAAATTTTACTCTCCCTTTGATTAACTTGATTTAATAAGGACTTTTTAAGATTTTCTTTTTAATTATGAGAGTTGAGATGCCTGATTAACTGCCCTATATAATGAAGTAAAAAATTTGAGACTTTTTATTGTATCATGACGTTATCACATTCTTCATGGAAATTTGCTGCACTCTTAAATTGTTTTATGGAAAGAAAAAAAACCTGAATATCTTTTAATGGCAAGATCTTAAAAAAGGAATGAATTGAGGAGCTTCCAATCTTTTAACATTTAGCAAATACAGAAAGAAACCTTATGTTACAGATTTTTCAATTCTAAATTATGCAATTTATATTTTTGTCCATTTTATATAAAAAAATAATTGAATTTAAACATTTAATAATTTTTGAATTATAAAATAGGATGAATGTAGGAACATTTTACTTTTAACAAAAATGTTTAGTTTCAATATTTGTTGTATTTTCATTTCAAAAATAATGAATTTTTTTCATTGAAGAAATATTGACCAAATTACAGATTTTAATAAAAATGTAACATAGGCCATTCAGTAATTGTAATATGAATTTATTAGTGTTTTCCTAATTTGTTTAAATATCTACACATCTTTATATAATCAATAATATTAATCTTATAAGTGTTTTTATACAAAAACATTAATAAATAATCTTTATTTAAATCTAAAATATTCACTTGATAATTTAACCCTTTGCCTGTAATGCCTGAACTCTGCTCGGGTAAGGCAAATGCGCCAATTTTAGAATGCTGGCCTGAGTTTGCGCAAGAGAAAAATTGGTGTTTCAATTCCAATGCATAATATGTAATTTACCATTTTTCCATTGGATGGTGATACTTGTTTTTGAATTTTCCTGAGAAAGATTCTGTTGTTTCCAGCCATTTGTCAGATTTTTTTTTCAATTCTGTTGTTCTTCTCTTGGATGGAATTCATGACAGTTGATATAAACAGGGATGAGATTTTTCCGCTTTTTAGCGGATTTCCGCTTTTTTCACCTTTATCACTTGAATTTTAGCTTTTTTGTCAAAAATTCAGATTTTTCTAAAAATTTCATTTTTTTTATAAGTATTCCGCTTTTTCAGAAAATTTACCGATTTTCAAAGAGTAACAGAAAATTCAAACTGCATAGCTACCAAACCTTCCTCATTTTTACTTATTTTAGCTGTTTTCTCTCCGTTTACTCACAGCAAATAAGATTTTCGGAATTTTTTACCCGCCCTTCAGATAGATCCGATTTTTGTAGTTCAAACGACGCTGCTTCTGACAAGCCTTTTAGAGGTCCCAAGCCTGGAATCTGCTAATATCTCTATCTCATTCACACGATTTTAATATCAAACATAGCTTATCATATTTGCGTGTTGCGATTCTGATTCACGTGATTTGAGTATTCAGGGATGAGATTTTTCCGCTTTTTAGCGGATTTCCGCTTTTTTCACTTTTATCACTTGAATTTCAGCTTTTTTGTCAAAAATTCAGATTTTTCTAAAAATTTCATTTTTTTTATAAGTATTCCGCTTTTTCAGAAAATTTACCTGGAATGCGAAGATTTAAAAATCAAATCAAATTCATCATAATCTTTGGCATTATTATTTGGCAATATCTTGAAGATGCATATTTTTGTGCATTAGGCTTTGCTGATATTTTATTGAAAAAGAGCCTTTACACTAGTGCTGATGACTCTGGTGCAACTCCTTTACCTTATGCTGCTTTTCATAATTAATTATGCTGTAAGAAATTCATTAGCAATTAATTAAGAGCAATTAATTATGCTGTAAGAAATTCATTTACATTTTATTTATTGTATTTCTACATATTCACAATGATCATAGATATGTTATTTGCTTACTTTAGCATATTTTTTCTCCATAAATTTACTTAATAATTAAAACTAAGAAATGCTGAATGCTATTATGGGTTCTGGGGGTTATTTTTGTCACTTATGTAGCTGTGATTTTCTTATATCTATATAAGGCTAAAACATTTTGACTGAATTCAAAATATCTGTTTTTCTCATTATCAGCATGATTGCATTTTTGAAACATATTTCTTTGTTCATTTATAAGTTCTCTACTTATTTCATCTTCTATTTCCCTCATTATTTTACTTAACTAAAGTTTAGAAATTCTTAAATTTTTGCTCTTGCATTTGGTATGATAGGTATTATTTTTATAATTTATGTAGGTTTTTTTTCATTTATTAAGCATCCTACAAAAAAAGTATTTTAAAAGTAATAAACAAGTAATAAAGTTTATAGTGAGATTAATAAAATCAAAGATACTCAAATTTCAAACAGAATAGAAATTCACCATAATTTCCTGTTTTATCCACGAAGGTGAACAATCTGTAAGGGCAGAAATTTCAGTTAATAAATTCAGTTCTGTTAATAAACACCACTGCCATATAATCTGTGGATTATATGGCAGTTTGTTTATTGCACCAATCTACTTTTAATTATGTAAATAAAAAATATAACAATGTAACTTTAATATATTTTTAAAAAATGTGAAAAAAATTGAGTATGTAAATTCGGAGATGAGAACCAGAGCCTGATTGAAGAGTTTTTCGAGGGAAAATATATTTTACAAATGTTCCTGTTCGCAACTAAAAACTTGCATATGGGTGATTCTTTCTAAACATGACAATTCGGACCAAAAAATTTCTTCAAATTTAAAGTCTTCAAAATTATCTAAAATTTTTTTTGTATACTTCTTTAGTTACACTTATTAATATCTTACACGTAGCAGTGTAGTTTGTTGACATTTTCTCGAATCTAGTGTTCGAGTGGTCTGGTGGTCAAGCCACCGAACTAGAAACTGACGGCTGGGGCGAGGGGGAACAGGTTCGAATCCCTGCTTTATCAACTTTTCAAAAAAATTTCTTTTTTTTTTCTTTCACCTATTTTGCATTATATTATTTTTTCAATGTGTTTTTCCATATTTTAGTGGGTCCTACATATAGGAAATATTTTTTTTGAAAATAGATTAAAAACTTTCGAATTCGGAAACTATTGGCAACTGTAAACTACATAGAATATAACTCTAATAGAAAGTGGTTTAGAAATTTTACGAAAATATTTGTGACAAATAAATACGAAAAATATTAAGAAGAAGGAAAATATCATAGAACAATCCTATACAACTGAAAAGAGGAGGAGAGGGGAAGGTGTAGGGCCAAAAGCATGGAGCCTGTCGTTTCCCCTGATAGCATATTCCAGCGTTGCGATCGCGAATTATTCCTTCTTTTCAAAAGAAAAATAAGAAGTTTTGGATAAGGAACACTTTGTTCACGTTATAATATTGAAAATATTGAAAATAAATAAAAATAAATGAAGAAAATTAACAATTTCCCATTGACCGGGATTGAACCCCGAACCCCTCGGTCCACATATTTCTAATTACAACTTCTACAACTTACTAATTCGGCTAACTAGCCTGTGGTGCTTCTGACCCTTTTACGCCTCACAAGCTGTTGCCCTGATTATTATGCCAAAAGAGCTTCTCTGCGTTTTTTTTTTT